CAGAAATGGATTTTCAAAACCAATACTAGGGCGATTACGTGCCTGTCAAAACCTCGTAAATCACTTGCAGTGTTGACACATTGTTCTAAGGAGACCTTAAAACATAATTTAAGAAAATGATGGGTGAGCGCTTATATAATTTTTTTTTAAAGTACTCAGTAATTTTAATGTTGGAAAAGGTTCACTGCAATCTAATTTTAGGAAAGTTGAATTTAAATTTACTCTAGTCATCGCTCACATATGGTCACCATACTTTAAAAAAAAAAAAAATTAATTTAAAAATATTGGGTAAAAAAGACTTTAAATGAACTTTTCAAATTTTGATTTGTAAATGAAATTTACACGTAAGCGATTTTATATTTAAAAATTTTTAAAAATGAAAACAATTGTAAAAATTCATTACTCAAAAATTAAGACAATAAGTGACCTCAATAAATTTTACAAAAGCAATTAAAAGCTTTTCTAATTAAATAATTTTAGTTTTCTTGCATTTTTTTTTATTTTACAATTCAGAAAAGATTTTCGGTGACTGGATTAACTGTTTCACAAAAAAAAAAAAAAAAAAAAATTGATGATTTTCATTCTCCAAGGAGTCCTGTTTTTAAGTTAATAAAACAAATTTTTTCCCTAAAAATTAAATTTCTTGAAATTTCATGTTAAAGGAGAAAAAAAAAGAGAATATGAATATGTCCTAAAAATTGTATTGGAATCAGAAAATTATTTTATTTTTACAAGAATTTCCAAATCAATGTTTTTCACTAGAAAAACGAAAAACAATAATCGTAGGCTGCTAACTAACATAAACAAAACAATTTTTTAACCAAAATTTCGAACGTGATTTAAAAGAAAAAAAACTTTTGGTCTTTCCTCTTAATAAAGTTTTATCATCAAAATGTTTATTATTAAGTTTGGGGCCTTTTTTCATCATACTACTGATTTTCAGTGGCTGTATCTACATAAAAAAGTATTTGAAACATTTCAAGTATAAAAATAAAATGTTCACTTTCTCCAGTCATTTTAAAAACATTAAAGTAACAATAGGTTCCCAAAGAAGTGTTCGTTATTTTAAATAACTGAAAATTTTTTTGTAACTTCCTGAAAAGTGACATTTTTAAATTATTATTTCCTACCTTTTATCTGTGATAAACCTTTGTTGCCGAGAGATCCAATCGCTTACATCCGTAGCGCAGTTTTCATTAACAAATGATCAACACCACAACTACGTTTTATCATCGTCATTCCGGTTTTTAGCCTTGGGGCGGAGTATTGTTGGTACGGCAGTGTTTAACAAATGGTATCTATTTGATAGACCAAGTTTAATTCTATTTAAACTGGCCGGATGAAACATATCAATAGTGAAATGATCACTACACAAAAAACTACAAAACGACGGACCCTTAAAATTAGGTCGGGTACGTCGCACAAAATTAATCCAGATTTCCTTATAAAAAGGATCCGGGGGAAACCTGTGGTGACGAACTCCATCCCATTTAGATTTGCTACATCCTTTCAGAATACATCTGGTCACTATCACAACACAAAAATAATCAGAAAAGCACAAATTGTTGGAATAAATAAATCATACATTTAAGAATAAGGTAACAAAACTTACTTATGCCAAAAAGACTTATTTCTCCATCATCAGAGTATACAAAAAGAGTGACATCACTACTTTGTATAAACAAGTCACATGAATTCATTGTGGACCTAAAATACATTTAAATTTCGATTGCAAATTTGTATAATAATTAAAATTTTAGTTGTAATTCCAAGATACTAAATTAAATTTACTACTTCAAATAAAGAAATACAAATTTAAATTGATTGGAATTATTTTTCTGATTATGAATAAAATCTATAAAATCATTCATATTGACATGGTTGTCAACACAACATAATTCTCTTTATTAAAAAATATCTTTCAAAAATCAAATATACTTTCCTGAAATGTTATTTGAGAAAAATTAGATGATTTCATCTTTAATTAATCTGAATTGAAACAAATAACTCCTAATTTAAAACGCAAATATTTTTTTACGTAGTGGTTATTTATCAACTGCAAGATTTGGGGGAAATTTATCTAAAGATAATTGCAATAAAATGATTAATACAATCTAAACACCTTTATTATATAATTGTTTTTCTTATAATGTTGTGTATGGATGTCAATATTTACAAAAATCAGCATGTTTCTATACATTCAAAAGTCTTTTATTAAAATATGAGAATGCAAAATTGTAAACTTTTTCCATTTATAATTAGTAAATGGAATTTTTATTTAATAATATTTGACTGCTACAAATTAACACAATTTTATGTGAAGGTTTATATTGGGGTGGGTGGGGGTGAAATCAATTCTTATAAATTTTTTTCCCTCTTGAAGACGATGGTGTCCACAATGAATGTTATTCATCTAATTCAATAATGTCTTGTTTTCTTGCATTTTTTATTTTACGATTCAGAGCAGATTTTCTCTAACTGGGAGATCCATTATTGACCCCAAATGTTGATTTAAATTTTCTGCCTCCTTGGGGATAACGTGTGTGTGTGTGTGTATAAAAAACAAAGATTTCTCTATAAAAAAAAGTTTTAAAATAATTATTTCTGCTTATTTTTTTAGTGATCTTAAAACGAAACGAATTTCATTTTCTTCAAAATTCGACATTTTTTGTTGTTGAATTTTGAACAAAATTTGAAATAAAAGAAACTCATATTTGAATTATTTGGTAGGGAGAATGGCAATTGTTTTTTTCACAAGATTTCCTTTTCTGATGCTTGGATTGAAGAGTGGGCGAAAGGAAAAGACTGGGTACAAAGTCAACATTGGCCACATTCGGTATTGGATAGCCACTATGGAAATGGAGGCCACAGATGCGATCGTTGTCCGTTGCTGTCCAATTTTCTCTAGCTTCGACCCAAAGGCGTCGACGGTGTGAATTACGAGGGAAACGATGTAGACGAATATCACAATTGGACTTAGTGACTCGCATCGTACAACCAACAACCCCACAAGTGGGCATTAGGATTGTTATTAAAACAAAACAAAAAAAAAAAAAAAAAAAGGAAGAAAGAGAAAGAAAAAGAAAAAAGTGCTCTTCGTAAACTACAATGGTAAAAATACGGGCCACAGTGTCGTAATCGCGCACGGCCTAACAGCTTTTCCGGTGGCGAGAAGTAACTTTGCTCATAAAATTTAATTTTGTTTAATTTACTAAAAAAGCAAATAAATAATAAAGCTGACACGCACATAGTCGTGATAGTAAATTCCTAATTCTTGTGAGATTAAAAAAGCAAAACAAAAACGCATCAGCTATTGTAAGAGAAAAAAAAAATCCGATCACATCAAATGGAAAATAAAATTCATCTAATAATAATTCAGGTAATTTTGTTGTGTTTCCGAACATTCTGCTTACGTAGATGTTAAAAATTGTGAGTCTCGTTCAAATCAACTTTTTCCTGTTTGTTTTTTTTAACACTAATATAGAAAATATACGATTTATTCAAATTTATTGAAAATCCCCAGTTTCGTAAGTAAATGTTTCAGGAAAATCATTGACGACGGATGAAGATGGGTATAAAAATTGCAAATTTGAATAAGAAATACGTAGAATGCAAAAACAAAAATGTATTATTATTATTATAGAACTTATTACCGAGGAAAATTGTCCCGCTGAAGAATCTATTAGTTGTTGAATTTCTTGTTGTTGTTGTGTTGTTAAACTGGATACAGTCACGTGAGTATAATCATCAGTATGAGCAGCGCTATTACTACTACCACCACCACGATTATTAGCCATAGTGGCGTTTAAATGAGTTGGCCACCTGGGTTTCTGGCGACCCCTCGTTCGAGTGGGATTAAACAATCCCGGTGGCAGAATAGATGGCACAGCACCCTTGACCAAGTCTAACTTACGTCGAAATCCAGCCCGCCATTGTACGAAACCGACAAAATCGTCCGGGGCAACGAAATGGGCTCCGCAAATAACAGACAAACCACTTCGCCCTCCTCGCCAGTCGGAACGAGTGAGGGAGACAAAATTATCCCATTTTTTCTTTAAATGAGGGTCAGCCGGAAAGGTATGAACACTGACATCGCTCTGATTGGTATTGGTGCAGCCACCCAGAACACATCTTTTTACCATTGTGGCTTAAAATGAAGAATGGCGATAGTTCTTCTGTCTTCTTCCTTTTCAGCCACAGTGGTAAGATAATGCAGAAGCAGTTCCGTTCTACAACTAGCGTCATAAAGACGTCACTTCCGCGAGAGCCGTGCCACTTTTAATTCAACGCACAACTATCATCCGCTACCTTAATACTTTCATCATTCAACCAACATACAGGGATACATAGTTTATATACCAGAGTGGCTTTGTCCAAAAGTACTATTCAGTGCTAAAATAAAGGGGGGGGGGTGTGATTAAAAACTAGACTTGGTTTAACTAAATCTAGAATTGGAACAATGGGCAAAAAAATAATCTTTAATTTTGCTGTACACAATTTTAAAGTCTTCAAAAAAATAATCCGATAATAAAAATGAAGACCTGGGGTTTAAAAATTTGTTCAATGTTAACAAGAAAAAGTGAGAAATTAAGTGGCAAAAAAAAAAAAAAAAAAAAAAAGTTGTGTGGCATAAAAATGCTGAAAATTAATTCCTCTTGTATATTTGTAGAGAAGGAAGAAAACATAACCAGGAGTAAAAAGAATACATTTTCTAATAGATTCCCTGATATTTTGCTTGTAAATAAAAAATAAAATGCTTGTACTAGGAATCTACGACTGAAAATTATTTCTCCAGTTAAATGCTCATTTCAAAGCAAATGGCTTTTTACAATCAATCATTGGGGGTGAAGAACATAAAACCAAAATATTCTTTACGTGAGAAAATACATACACAAAATAAATGGGGGGGGGGAAGCTGAAATGTGAAAAAGTGACTTTTTTTGGGACCCCCTTTCCAATATTTATATCGGTAAAGAAATTATACTAATTATTTTACTTACTTCAGCATAACCAGCTGTGGACTGTAACATGTTCATCGGTCTGACAGGTAAGGGATCCGGGTGCTCCCTGGTGGGGCCATTGCCTCCAACAAAATGCTGAAAGAGATAAAAAGTGACATTATGGCATTTCCCTGACTTTTTAGGTTTTTTTTTTTATATACAGAAGTATAATAAAGCTTTTCAATCGAGCAAAAAAAGAAAAAAAAATATGGCATGATTTTGCATGAAATAATAAATCGACGTTTCAGCGGAGACATTTAAGCGCGGCGATAAATATTGTGCGACATTTCAGCGGAAGGATTAACGTCACAGACATGAAAACATTTTTGTAAACAAATCGTACTTTCTCGTGCAATTTTACAGTATACACACACAAATTCTCAAAGTAAATACTGAAAAATGCTCTTTTATAATAAATAAAACTATGCACGTACACCTCTTGGGGAGGGTTGATGTTCGCCAGTAAATCTACGCTTTCTCTGCACTATTTTTTGCAGCGAACGATATTTTGGTAGTTTAGCCACAGCTTCTTGTGACAAATTACTTTGTGTCTCTTGTATTATTTGTCTAGAGAGGTCATGAGATGCAGCAGCTTTCTCTCTCAACTTTGATACACATATTCTTCCTTCTTGCAAAGCGGGATCTGGAGTATGATTGTGGTCAGCAACATGATCAGCTTCATTTCCACTAACATGAATGCGCCCCTTACATTTGCCACCGACACATCGCCATGATTGTTTCCCTGACTTTAGCACGGACTCTAATCTGTAAAAATAGCCATTTAGTGCAATCTGTGGCTTTTTTTTCTGCGATGTAAACCGCTCCATTATTAATAACTCCCCCAAATATTCTAATTTCTCTGGAGGTAACAGTGGTATATATAGAGTTTTTTACACAACTTTAATCAACCAATGAAATTGCCCGTAGTATTTAAAGAAAAAAATGCAAATATTCGAGATAAAAATAATAAAAAAGTTCTCAAATTTTGCATGCGATAGTAAATAAGACCGCCCCTTCACCCCCATGAAAATATCTCCGACATTCTTTTTGACGATTTTGTCGTGATATAAAAACCGAGATTCGTTCTTTTGTTTTTCGCTTATTTGTCGCCGCTTTTTTTTCTCTTTAATTCTACGCCATATTGTCGCTTGACGGATATCTTTATCGATTTGTGTAAATGCAGGATTACACATTAAAAAATTATTAAAGTTTACTCTGAAATGTACTTGAAGTGAACTTGCGTTTTTGTTTTCAATGCAATAAATGGTAAATTAATAAAATATTGAAAAAATATTGTCAACTAATTGCACTTTGTGACCCAAACAGAACTTTCCCTCCTCCCCAAGTCTTTTTTGTTTTTTTAATTAACTCTTACAAATTTTCGAAGTTCCTTATGTACATATTTATAAAAAAAAAATTAAAGGAATGACAAAATCAAAATGAAAAGTACTTTTTCATAGTCCATCATTCCATGTTATCCAGGTAAATATTTGAAGTTAAAAGCATAAAGAGTTTTTTGCTTTTTGTTTGAATCATGATTTCATCACACCTTAGATTTTATTTCTCATCCACGTTCACATTTCCGATTCAAATTGTTAAAGTCTTGTAAATTTCAAGAAGTTTTGTATCAAATCATTGTTAAAATTTAGTCATTTGATGTTAATTGTAATAATCATGTCAGTGCGCATGAAATTATTACAAAAATAATTACCTACTTCAGATTGACTTTTACTAACAAAAATGTACTACTTCTTTCATAATGTGATTTTTTTTCAAAATTAAAGTCGTGTTATGAAGTAAAAGCAATATCAAAAGGTAACATTTGGAGAGGAAATAATGCTGCTGAGTTTAAAGAACTTTAAAAAAATGCTGGCATCTACCTCTAAGCAAAAGAATATTTTTTATAAGACAGGAAAACATTTGATCATTCCAAGTTTATATTTTAAACCTATCTGCAGTTGTTTACACATTATAATGAACAAATATGTAGCAAAAACAATTATGCAATATTTTCTAAATACAATAATTACCTGCTTTTTTAATTGTAAAAGGTTTTGTAAGCATTTAAATTAATGAAGTCAATTGGAAAAGTAGAACCTTTGAGAAAATTTGATTCAATTCATATTATAGTAGCATTTACAAAAGTAATTTTTGAAAAATTTTATGTAAGCATAAAAATAATTTGCCTATACCTTTGCCATTTTAAGTCCCCCCCCACCACCAAATATTTTCTACAAGATGTGTCATTATTTTTTTAATAAAGTCACACAAACTGCTTAAATCTTTATGTAAAAAAAAAAAATTACTTGATCAAAAGCAAATGAAATTTATGTAAACAAAATAATGTGTAAACAAGTGCTGTGGACAATGACACCCCACAAAAAAAAACAAAAAAAAAAACAAAAAAAAAAAAACTAAGCTTTAAAATGCATTTATAAAATAAATTTCTTAATTTTGAACTTTTCATTTTAGTTTTAATTTCAAGCTAATAAATTAAATCTAATATTGCTGTCTGTATTTCAAACAATTTAAATTGATTGGAAGGATTTTTTTTAATCACTAAAATCAGCCATATTGACAAATTTGTCAACACAATTTTTTTTAAGAAAGAAAAAAATGATTCAGAAATAAAATATATACTTTTATGAAAGGTTATTTGAGAAAAATTAGCTGAAGTTTAATTAATCTGTTTTGAATCAAATGTTACTTTTGGTTTAAAATATCACAGAAAAGCACTTTGTTTAATACTGAGGTAGGTGTTTTTATCAGGTGTTGAGAGATTTATCGCTAACTTAGTATTTGACATTTTTAAGTAAAGTAAGTAATTACTTTATGAATACAATGAACTCACACACATTTTATTTACCCAGTAATCTTAAAATTTTATGAAAATATTCCCATAATACTTTATTGAATTTTCGGTACTTGGGCTGTATAGTCTTAATTAATACAGTTGAGGAAATGTTAGAAAATTACCAATAAATTTCAATTTCCAGCTAATGTTGTGTATGGACAGCTGTATTTACAAAAACATTTACACACAAAAATTAAAAATTCTTTTTAAAATACTGTGTGTTGCTGAATTGTGGTAAGCCTTTCCATTTATGATTAGTAAATATAAAAAAATTCATGTAAAAATTAATTAGTTATTATATTGGGAAAAGTTTTCTCCTTAAAACAATGCCCATAATACAGCTTATTAATAAAAGCAATTTAAACATTTCTAGTTCAATGTCTTAGCTTTAATGCACTTGATGTACCTAGAAATCTCCATTTTACGATTCAGTGTAAATTTTCTTAATCTGAGGGTCCTGTTGACTGAAAAAATCCCTAAACTATTATAGACGTTGAACTCTACAAATATGAATTTCTCAAAATTTAGATAGGTGGAGTTAACAGATGTAAAAAAAAAAAAAAAAAAACTCAATAAATTTAATTCATTTGTGAATAAGCTCTGAAAGTTTCATTAAAATACAACAATTATCTGATTTTTGCAAGAATTTCTAAGTCAATGTTTTTTTTTCACTGCAAAAAGATACTCAAATTTCCCATATTAATTTATTTTGTTGTTGACACATAAGTGCACCTTGCTCAAACTTCAATTAATGAAAAATAAATCAGTTGTTATCGTGAGATAAGGGAACACAGACATCCAAGTCAGTAAAGAAATGATGAACAGATTTTCTCATTAAATATTTTAATTGGTCCTTATCAAAATTAAAGAAGAATCATTTTGCAAAACTTAGATGCATTTTATGTCCACAGAGAATTTTTTTGAGAGAGGAAAACAAAGTTTTAAATGAAATGAAAGCAGCTTTTCCTTGTATTTCACCCTCTGCAGAGAAATAACTTTTGCAAGTAAATCAGAAAATACCTTCATCAGTAGTTCTATAGCATCAACTTTACTAAATCCAGAAACACACATGATAAAATATGTCTTTGAAATGAGTGAGATTCTATAAAAATTGCTTTGATAGGGACACTAATACATTCTTTCATAACTAAACAAAATAGAAATACAGCTTAAGTTGATTGGAGGGGGGAGCTTCAGTGAGGGCTATTTTAAACACAAAAACAAATATGGTGGTGTATTATGAACAAAGTTTCTAAGGAAAATTCATTGTAACTTATTTAAATTTAACTCAATTATGCTTAAATAAATGTGCTTGATAGAAAAAATAAAATAATGGGTCATTTGTATTTATTTTTAAGCATGTTGTACAGAATAGCAATCTGCAATTTTTTTTCTAATTTTAGTCAATATGTAATTTGTAGTAAACTAATTGCAGAAATATTTCATATTTAAAAACCTCTGCAAGCAGCTCAAAACAAAAACATGTGAAAACTTAAAATGTCAGTCTAACAATATGAAAAGTAGCATTTTATGCTTTACAAATTTCTATCTGAATTTCTAAGATGAGAATTTTTTTGTTGTCAGGTGCCTATCAATCCAGGTAGTTTGACTGACATATGAAGAAATGCAGATGGCACAACTGAAATACTGATAGTAAGATGAAGACATCACTCTCATCCTGCATTCAAAATAAGAATGGCTTCTTGACATGTCAGGGTGGGGAGCTGTTTTATCAGATAAATTACCCTCGCCTTCATCCTTAAACACATTTAGGGCAATATGATGTAACTTAAGACTTCACTGTCACATAACTAATTCTTTAATCATTTTCCTAAAAAAATGTCTTTTACAAATACTGACATGGACCCATCATGAGATCTAAACATTTTCTTATAGCATATCACTCTTTCACAGATTATTAAAAACCTGAAAATAATTTTAGATCCTGCACATCTATGTTTACAGCAGCTGGTATTCCCTATTGGTCACCCATTTAAATACTGACCAGGTTTGCTTCACTGATTGTACAAGAATTAGTGTATCAACGTGATATGGCCATAAGTGTTTTTGTGTCAGAAGAAATTAACTATCACTTTACTCCAGGAGGCCTTCAAAAATGATAATCCTAAATGTATAGTGGAATTACAGTTTATTTATTTTGACAGGGTCCCAAGAAAAAAAAAATGAATGGCTAAACAGCAAAGACAAATGTAGAATTAAATAATTATTTATGTAATAAATA